GTTCAGTTTTAATTTTTCTCTTCGCTTGTGATGAATGCCGCTATATATATATATACCATATATATCATATATGTATAGTTTTTAATCCAGTTATCGAATTAGTTTTTCTTTTGTTTTGGAACAGCTGTTTACTTAAATTTCCTTTATGAAAGTTGATGACGGCATGTGCAACACTTAAAGATAAGTAACAAAGTTTATTATTATTTTTTCCATAGTCTACAATATATATATATATATATATACACACACACACATATGCAAGTGTATGCATGCACACGCATTTTATACAAATGAAGTTTTCAGTGGGTTTTTGCCTATATATGTAAGCTGAAAGTTGGACACATACCAGAGACTGCTCGAATTTCGGAATCTTCCGAAATTTATGATATATAGTATATATATATAGTTATATAGTTTATACACATTTAGAATGCCTGTGTGTGCACGTGGAGCGCGAGCGTTCAATAGAAAACGTTAACTAGAGTGTTCATTATGTGTGTGTGTGTTTGTTTTGTCTGTGTGTGCTATTGGGGCAGCTGTTCTAGGCTAGCAACACATTTAGTTGATTTTGTTTTGTTTTGTTTCTCTGCTACATTTATTATTTTATTATTATTTCATTAATAATATTTTCAATGCGTGTTCTTAACATTCATCGAACATTGAGGCTCGCTTTTTTATTTTGCTTCACTTACAAACAATTATACGCTTTATTCAATCCGTTTTGCTTTTCTTTCTTTTAGCTTAAACCTAATTAATAATAATTACTTTTTCTCATCTTTACTTTTTTCTTTTTGCTTGCTCTTGTAATATATATATATATTTATATGTATTTATAATATGTATGTGTGTGTGTGTGTTTATTATTATATTATGTAGAATTGTTGTTGCGCTCCTCTCGTGCATGTAGTTGTAGCCACGCCGCTTGCAAAACTCACAACGTGTCCTGCCGACTTGCTTTTGGTGTCCTTGTTAAACGAGTATACAATTTAGTTTAGTTTTCATATTCATTACTATTATTATTGTTATTATTATTTTGTTTTTAAGTTTTTAGCTCAAGCTGCATTTTGTTTGTTTATAACTATTTAGCGCCAGCTCAACAAACGTTTATACTTAATTCATTTTCTTTGATTCTTTTTAAATTTTATATATGTATATATAGATGCACGTGTGTGTGTATGTGAGGGTGTGAGTGTGGGTGTGAGTGTGTGTGTGGGTGTGCGTGAGCCGGCTGACATTTCGGTGTGTTATAGTTGTTCGTGTTGTTCTTGCATTTAACCGTATTGTGATTGTTGCTGTTGCTCCTGTTGCAGTTGTTGTTGCTGCTATCATTGTTGTTGTGGTTGTTGCTGCTGTTGCTGTTGTTCATCATTTCGTTCCCAGCGCGCTTCGCGTTGCTTCTGCTTAATTGTCTGGCTTCTCTGATTTATTTTTTGCATTGGCTGTCGCAGGATTATTGTCAGCGGCAACGCTGTTGCTGCTATTCGACTGTTGCTGATGAGAGTTGGCTGTGTTTGATGACGAACCCGACGTCGACGCAGCAGCAGCTGACGCCGCCGCGGCGGACGTTGCGCTGTTCGCTGTTGCAGCGCTGCCGCCTGCGGCGCGCCCGCTGGAACGATTTGATTCGAGTTCGTGCAGCTTCTTCCACAGCTCCTCACGATCGCGTTCACGTTTCTTTTCCCTGCAAAGGCAATAACAGAAGTAAAATCCATTAATTTAACAATGACTCGAATTTATTTATAAATTTAATTACTTTTGCCTTTCCGCCTTGTAGCTGGATGTTAGCTCATCGAATAGCTTTGAATTCATTTCCATAAACGTTTTCAATACATTGTAAACTAGCGCAACAATCGTTTGATTCCAATGCTCCTTGCTGATGCGATAGAGCGCCGGGAACATGATGGGCATTATGACAGGATTGTTCTCCTCAATAAGCGACATGGCATATTCGTTATTCCACAGATATAGAGCACGTTCAGCAACCTATACAGATTATTTATAAATGCATATTATTCAATTTGTATATAGATCAGTATATATTTATAGTAAATTACTTGAAAATGTGGACTTGAAACGCATTTGGCTATCTGACGGAACAGCGGCTCCTGTATTTTGACAAACTGTGGCGGATCGATCACATCCAAGATCTCCTCAATTTCACCCAGGAACATCACCTCCTTCTGGGAGCATGTCTTGGGCCAAAATTTGAGCAGGCCACGCACCACCGGCTCGGTGAGGAATGGATCCTTCTCTAGGAATTGTACAATGCAATACGCCAGCTGTGCATGATAGAGCGACAAACACTTGACTTTGTGCAACGGCAACAGGACCTTAACCAAAAATTGTTTGTGTTCTGCCTTCAATGGCAAGGCAAAGCCGTTGATGATGCTGCAACAAAAAGAGTCCATCTATATAGTCCACCGTTCATTGAGAGATCTCATTCGTTTCACTTACCTGCCAAGAATCTCGAGCAGTTCACCAACGCCATTGAAGTGCTCCGTCTCATAGATGAATTTCAAGAATATGTTATTGATCTGTTTTCGTATAAAAGCGCGTAAGCCTAAGAATTTTCCATAGATGCGATGCAAGACCGTCTTCAGAAAGTCCCGCTCTCGCGGATCCTCCGAATCGAACAGCTCCAATAACTGCAAATTTCAATGGTTTTTAATACATGTGTGTGATATCAATTCGATGATTCCGCTTACCTGCAGCACAAACTTTTGATCGATCACACGTTTGCCAATGGTCGCCTGAAAATCTTGGGATTCCAAGAAGCGCAAGAACACCTCGTATACCAGCTGCAAATGGGGCCAAGACGCCTCCAGTGTTGGATCATCCTCCTCTGGATCGAAATCCGGATTTTCACTAGGCGGCAATGTTCGAAATAAATTGCAAGAGATCTAAAATAAAGAAACAAGGAAATTAGAACAGTTTCATTAAAAGGGACCGTGGAAAATGCTCGACGAGGACTGTTACTTGCTGCCCATTTACTTACCATGCGTATTATTTCGGGATAGACCGGCTCCGTAAGCACGCCGCGACCATGTGTTATATAGGTGGATAGATCATTGAGAGCAGCACGTTTGATTTCCTTGCCCTTCAAGTCCGTCACAGGATCCATAAAGTCAAATGATACGCAGCACTGACGTAATTTCCGTATAAACAGCTCCTCCTGTTCGAGGCTCGAGCAATCAGCTAGAAATAAAAGGACGGAAGGACGTGTTTTACTTGTTAAAAGATGGTTCAATTTGTGAGCTTCAGTTGCTTTATTCAGTCACCTTTTAGTGGCGGCAATTGCTGTAGCTCAACATCCTGAGAGTTTCTGTAGCGCGAGGAACCTTGACTTTTTTTACTCTTCTTTTTGAGCGAACGTTTGGCGAACGGGTCGATTCGATCCACAAACGTGCCCGATGACATCTTTTCAGATTTGGGTTCGTTTGTATCGATGGCGGCGGTCTCCGTGGCTGACTGTGTGGTATTCAGCTTGCCGGCTTTGATTCCAACGTTTGACAATTGAGATATATTTTCGGCTGCAGTGCCGGTCGCACGCCTCGCCACGCCCCCACGCACACCCACGCCCTCGCCCACGCCCGCGTCGCCCTCGTCTTCGTCCTCGTCCTCGAAATCAGTGGTGGTGCCGCTGCTGCTGCCGCCGCTGCCGAGAATTGCGACTGGTTTCTTGGTGCGCGTCTTGCGTAGCCAGCCAAATATTTTATGTGTTATGTTGGCGACTTTTGCCGTTGAGTTTGGCGTCTTGCAATCCTTTGTGCCACGTAATGCACGACCACGGCTCTGACTCCTTAACGGTATGCTGGGCACTTCCTTGAGCTGTTGCTGTTGTTGTTGCTGTTGTTGTTGCTGTTGTTCGTGTTGTTGGTGATGTTGCAGTTGCTGTGTTATGTTGATGGCGGTGTTGATAGTATAACGACTTATCTTGGCATTTATATGCGTGAAGCCTGCTCAAGTAGAAGGTTCAATTGATATTGTTGYTGTTGTAGTTGTTGCTGCTAGCAGCTTGATTCCTTGTTGTTGTAGTTGTTTTAAATTCGTTACACTGCAAGATGAATATAAAGTTGTTTATTAAAAAATTGATTGATTGATTGATTAAAGAACTTGCTTTAGATAGAATTCACTATAAGTTTGATTGACTGATTGATGGACCATTTGACTAAATGACACAGTTCAGTCGACTGACTGATTGAATAAGACTTTGGCTAACATATAGACAGTTAACTTGGCAGACTGTTTAGTTGATTGACTCGGTTGATTAGTTGATTGATTGCTTAGACTGAACCCATTTACTTGATTGATTCTAGTCACTATTGTTCACATTTGCTAGGCTAATTGACTAAAGAAACATTTGCCTGATTGATCCACTGATTTGCTTAACTACTAATTCATACAGTGAACAGACTAAATGAAACACATATAAATAGACATTTTATATGCTAAACTATTTCATTGATAGTTCACTTGATTGACAATCAATGCACAGCTCTGAATTTCATATTCATTCTTATATGAATATATTTATATAACTATAGATTCAACAATCCTGACGTACACATCTTTAAAATACTAGCTAAATATATACAGGAATTAATACCTAATGCCTAATTGAAAATCTAATACCTGCAACTCACTTGTGTATTGTTTGTGTGTTGCTTCGTTTTCTTTTCTCTTCTTTTCTTTACTTTTCTGGTTTGTTTGATTTTTGTTCAATGGAGGGATTGTTGCATTTTCTATATGCGCCTTATTGCGGTTCTTGCTGTTGTTGCTGTTGTAATACTCGCTTAGCTTCTATGTAGCTTGCTGCTCTGAATGGCACATCAATTCATTTCTCTCTGTGTGTGTGTGTGTTAGTGAGATAGAGAGACTATTGGAGAATTTGCTATCAATAAACAAAAAAAAGCACTGATCACATATTCTCGCGCTCGCTCTCACGCTCTGAGTGTGTGCGCGCTTGTGTGTGTGTGTGTGTGTGAACGCGCTCTTGCTTCAGCAAGATTTTTCTTTTAGTTAAAAAGTTCCTATTATTTTTGGCATCACATGCACTGCAATTGAAAGAAGAACAAGAACGGCATTAATTCATATGAAAAATTCACATATAACAAAAAAAATCAAATCGATCGAACGCAAAAATGTCATAAGATAACATCGAATAAGGAAGAGCAACATAGCCAATGGGTGCAACTGACTGTATTAATACTCGTTCATAAGTTTAGAAATAACTGTAAGTTAAATATGTCCTCTCGAAGCCTTTCAATGCGCGGGGCACTTCAAACCCGCTTGAATGAAATGAATATTTATATAAGTATGTTGATGCCATAGTTAAACATATTTATTAATAATTCAAGTCTCTAAACATTAAACAGGAAGCATATGAAAAGCCAATATACTCCATTTCATTTCAAGAACAAGTCTACATAGTAATCATTGTTTTTCTTTTTTTTTTTTTTTACTATTATTATTTTGCTATCTAATCAAAATGCTTGGCACTTCTCCATTTAATGCTCTTGCCATATAGATAAGAGGCAAAGTTCTGATTTCAGTTGTCATTTTCATTTTGCTTTGTTAATTATACAAAACAAAAACCATATAGGAGTTTTTTTCAGTGTACTGAAAAGGTTAAAGTTAGTCTCCTATATTTATATTATAATTATTCAGAAGAAATGAATCAGTTCGTTAACTTTTACCTTAAAGTTAACTTTTCCTATACTATTTTTCTCAAATTCTAGTCTATGCCTTTTCTCTTCAGTTGAGCTTCTACTGTACTCAATCCCACATGCACACGTAAAAAATAAAAATAAAATAAAAACAAACCGCAACTGAGTCAACTATCAAATGCAATTTGCACTTTACAAATTGAATTTAACATCGCGTTGATTTCGTTTCATGCTGCAGCCAGCAGAAGCTGAGAAGCTAAGCCCAACAGAATTAATAGCCGCAATAAAGCTATAAAAAAAGCTAGATTAGCCCAGCTCAATGCTAAACGCTGCTGCAGGTTCAATAGACTTTGTCAGATCGAAACCATATATTATATTATGAAACTGCACGAACTGTCACGTTTTTCCGTCTAACTTTATAAATACATTGCAAGTGGAATAAATTTCGTGTCTGCTCGTATTATATTATATAGACAGCAAAGAATATATACTTGGCAAATTTAAAAAGCTTTCCTTACATGGAAATCAGGCATTTAACTAAATAAGCAAAGTTTACTTTAAGTTGCTCGAAAAACAAAAACAAAAAAACAAAAAAAAAACAAAAACAACACCTCAAATGAGTTTCAGCTATTAACAGAGTTTAGAAAAGGCCATTTAGTTTCGAAATTCCTAGCTTCTGGCTAGGGTATAGAAATATATATATTTGCATCTCTGTGTTTGCTCAAGAACAACACACGGAGAACTGCACAGCAAGTGGGAGAAAACCCAGTGGAAACATGTTAAACACGTCTAACACACGCACGCACACACATGCCTAGGGAAAGAGAAGAAGAGAGAGTGAGACAGAACGAGCTAGTTGCAATTGTTGGACAGGGCGTATGAGTGTCGTCGATCGACTTTGACTTCGACTGGCGACAGCTGTGGGGCCTTTGGTAAATGAAAAAACGTTGCGGTGAGGCGAGACAAGAGCCAGAGCAATGTGGGCGACTTGATTCCGATTGACAAACGGCCAAGTTTTAGTGCTGCCCGGAACTGTACAAATGCCACGCCCCCTCCGACACACACACACACACTCTCTCTGTCTCTCTCTACAAAGTTAGTAGCCCCCGTTTTTCCAGTCGCTTTACAAAAGCTATCAGCGCAACTAGAATTGTTAGAACTGTTACAGCTGAGTTTGCATAGCTGTATTGTCTGTACTGGCCATTGTAAGGATTCTCATTTGTAGCTGATGTATGTAGAAATGTACATACTATATCTAAGTGCATGAGTGTAAAGAAATACAGAAAGTGAATGAGGGAGAGAGAGGGAGACAGGCTGCATGTTGGCAAAATATTAAATGCATTTTACACAGACTTGATTCAATTAATTTTCATATTATGTGGGCGTGGTCTGCCCACAGAGGGAGTGTGGCGCACGCACCACACTCTACCGGAGATTTAATATAAGTGAAATGAAAATGAAAAGGAAACCCACCATTAACGGTACCAGCGACAGCTGGGGACACAATTACGAATACTATTAAGGGGCACGGGCACACAGCAAGTGGGGAGGAGTCAGCAATTATTATGTTATTTCCACACACACACACACACACACACACACATACCAAAGGAAACACCAAAAAAGAAAACAACTTTAATGTTACCTTGGGGCTAGCCCAAAATGTACAACAACAACAAAAACTACAAGTTGCAAATACATTTAACTATATAGATACCCTGTAAAAATATATACAAAAACTATGGCATTAGCTGACTTACTCAGATAACTAATAAAAATTTGATATATATTTT